GTCTATTCTTAGAAAATTGAATTCATTGCATTAGTATTATTTCTTTGCATCATTTTCATTTCATGAATTTGATAATACACCAAAATAATTAATTGATGAATTTGAATCTTATCTCCACATCTATCCTTACACATCCTGACAAATGTTGGTTTTATAAAAAACGAAGTGTGTAAGGACAGATAGGATGTCATGTCCTACTTTTTTCTATTACTAATCATAAATTTTAATACTCTAAGTTTTTGCCAGTTTACATGGCTCTAGAGTAAAATGAACTGCTTAAGAGTTCACCACGCAGCCCCTCGAAGGACAACCAGCTTGAGCTTTGTGAAAGGCTCAGGCAGCCACATGTCTGCTAAATCTGCAGGTGACTGAGGCGCAGAATTTTTTTCATTGTTATAAGGACATGGCTTTAGTTGAATTTTAATTTTTTTCAAGAAAAGATTTTCATGTGTTGTAAATGATTTTCATGACATAATATTAGTGTAAACTTAATCATTTTCATGAAATGAAAATTTCCAAAATATTGCATGAATTTCAAAAACATGCATGCAACTGTCCTTTTCATGATCAAAAATCGCATTTTTTTCATTGCTTTTTTTCATGACTTAACTTATATACTAGATCGGTGATCCCTTATAGATCAGACAACTCAAAAATAAATAAATCTTCTAATAGCATCAAGTCATCCTTGTATTTTGTTGACATAATTCTATACTATCAATTATTAACCTATTTGCATGAGAGTTGCGAAAGTGTAGAAAGCAACATAACACAAAAAATTTCGTCAATATCAATAGATACACATATTTCTTTTTACTAGTTTCGTATTCATTGTACTCAATAAAGCGAAGATGGAAGATTTGAAAAGCTTGAATATTCCTCGCTTATATCAAAAATATGTACGAAACTTGATAATCATTTGGGTATTAATGATAAAGATTCGGCTGAATTTATAATATGTATGATTCAAACAAGTGATTCATACGATTTATTTCAAAAGCAATTAGTAGAAAATGATGCTGATTTGCCTGATTCATTTTGGTAGTAATCTTTATCGAATTGTTCAAAAAATGTTACCAACACTATTGAAAAAAACAACATCTGAAAATCATCGTGAAACACGAAGTGAACAATCTTGACAATTAACTGATGTTGCATTACATACAGCAATATGTCCGTTTTTAAGTAAACCTAACGATCTATCAGTAAGAGTAAGTTAATTTCATTTTTTTTTATAAATAAATTATCTATTTGCATTATAGACAATGCTTCATGAGAAAATAAAAGAAAATTCTACAAATGAACAAGATAAAAAAAGTTATTGATGATCTTATAGATAAATTAGAAAATCTGCAAGTTAAAGTTAAATCTGGTCAATCAATAAAACGTGATGATGAAGATGAATCTAAGAAAAAGAAAAAACATCATTGTCATCGTTCATTTGATTCAGAATATGGCCGAAAAAAATTTAGGTATAATATTCCTGTTCATAGCTCATCTGATAAACGGAAATTTCGACGATGTCAAAATTCTAGTACAATTTTGCAAGTTTTTGAAATTCGTCAATATTGTCGAATATCCGTAATTGGGAAGATCATCATGGAATTACGAAAATTATAATTATGAATGAATATTTGAGAAGAGAGGTCACAATCAGAGGTGCAAAATTTGCCACTAACGTGCAAATTTCACCTAATGACTAGGTTTTCATGGAAAACTTTTTTTAAGAAGAAAAAAATAACGCAAACCCCATAATAAATGATAGTCTTTTTACGTCAGAGAAAAGTTAGCGAGATTATCAACTACTTCATCGTACAATTGCGAAAATGTTACAAGGCATTTTTAGTAACGGATCTGTTGAAATTTGAAATAAGTTACAATATTTTTTTATACAAAACCCTACATCTTTTGATACGACTTTCAAAGTGTTAGAACAAATATTTAGAAGAAAAATTTTCGAAATAGAAAATGTCAAAATTCAAAAAGAAACCGGTGATTCGAGACAAATCTTAGTTATAAATTTTGATTTGATTCAAAGTAGCCTATATTTTTGGGTGTGGGTGTGGGTGGGTGGGTGTGGGTGTGGGTGTGGGTGTGTGAATCTGGATCGGAATCTTCTATTCTCTCACACCAACCCACAACCCACATCCACACTCACACCCACATCCACACCCACACCCACATCCACCCACACCCAATTTGTGTGCACATACTTCATCAAGAGTGTTGGTTAGGGTGTGTGGGTGTAGGTATGGGTCTCTTCAATGTCATTTCACACCTACACTCAGTAACACACATCCACGCCCAACATAGTCTTGTTGATTGGCGAGCACCCTATTTTGTTTCATACTTTCACCGATGTCATCGTTGAAACTTACATCATTTTCCTTATCCTAAAGAGAGTTGCATCGTAATCACCTGTAAAAACGAATACAAACAAAAATATGTTTCATAAAAATGGTTGATTTCTTCGACAAAACCTGTATGGACAAATGGAGCACATCAAAACCAAATGATCCCAAGAGTTTATGTTCATTTTATCGAAAATGAAGAATTGAATCGACTTAGTCTTTTATAATAATCAGGTAGGTCCAAATCTTTATCAATCAGTTCCATATGTATTCAAATTCAAATAGATTGTGGGTGCGGGTGTGGGTGTAGAGTATGTCTGAGAGCCATTGTGAGTATTTTTTAGATAGGACTGAATCAGATTTATTTGAATGAAAAAAGACTTAGATTTTGCAAATAAAAATCGATAACGCTCTATATTATTATAAATGTTACACACTGTTGCTAAGTCGTTTAATGTTATTTCTGGTCTTGTTATAAAGTTGACGATGGTAAGAAGGATGGTGTCTATAAATTTTCAGTGCTTCGTGATAATGTGTAAGTGCAGACTTCACATCACCCATTTCTTCATATAGAGAAGCTAAATTATTAAAGTTGTTAAATAAACGGAATGCATCCGTGGGCAGGTTCTCTTTTCGAATTTGTAAAGCTTGTTCATAAAACTGAAGTGAATCAGCTTTTTTATCCATCGATTTATATGTACGAGCAATGTTGTCATGAATATAAGCCAAATATGAATAGTTAATAGATGTCAATTGTTGTTGAACTTTTAGTGCTTCGAGTCGATAATTCAATGCAGTTTCGGACTTGTAGCCATAGGTCGATGCGATATCTTCAAGAATTTTAGGAATAGTATGTTGTTGAGAAACAGGTAGACACTTTTTTGTCATTTCAATTGATTTTAGATAATAATCACGGGCTTCTTCTGATTTACCGATTTTGTAACACATTTTACCGACGTAATATAGACTGAAAGCAGTATTAACATGGTCAGGTAGCAAATACTTTTGTCGAAATTCTAATGCTTTACGATTCCACTCAAGAGCTTGAACATATTTTTGTTGGAAGAAGAAAATTTTAGCAATATCAACGTAACTAAAAGCGAGAAGATAATGATAAGATGGTAAACATGATTGTCTTTTTTCTAAAGCTTTTTCTTGATAGCTAAGCGCTTCCTTACAATCACCTTTACCTAAATAAGTTCGTCCCATACTACCGTAAAGTTCTGCAATCAAACGATTCATATTGTCTGATTCATTTTCTATAATACTTAATGCTTGTCGATAGTAAACTATAGCTTGGTCAAATTCTCTTTGTTTATGATGATATTTCCCTATATTTTGAAAGATGTTAGCCAGGAGCCTTTTGTTTAATGGCTTAACTTCATAACTTAGATTCTTTGCTTGATAAAAATGCTCTAATGCGAGTTCATTTTTACTCTCGTTTCTCAGAGCAATACCAATTCGATTATGAATATAAGCTACATTCTCCTCTCCAGGATTTTCTAAAAGATTCATAAAATATTGTAATGATTCTTTATGTTTTCCTATTCTTTTCAATAAAATTCCTACCATCATTTTCGGACTTTCATATTCCATTTCTCGTCGATTCTCCTCGATATACTTCATCACAACTTCTCGTCCTTCGTTGGTTGTTCGAAGCTGAATTATATATTTAATATCATTTTCCGTCTCTTCTCTAAAACTTTCAATTTGAAAAATGGAACCTATATCGAACAGAAATTCTTTTTCTGATGGGAATTCACTCGAATCAGCTATATCGGCAAAAATAACAGACTCATTTTTATCCTTTACATCGCATCTAATTTCAAATAGTACATTCACAAAATCTGAATGACATGTTAATGCATTGGCAAATGTTAGTGCATATGACCGTTCACAGCTAGTAGACCAATAACTATTAGTTGCAATGAGTTTATCCACATTTACTTTAAATTTTTCTACTTCTTTTCTATTAATTTTTGTACCACGATATAGATATAAGATTTCATCGTTGTTTGCTTTGATGTTTTTGCATTTTTCAACAAGTTTCTTTGATAGATCCACAATATAATAACGAAATGTATAAAGTTGTTCGATATCTTCTGTCCGCAAAGCTTTATTGATCAGCTCGTATACAAATGATTGTTTTGTATACCAATTAATACATTTGTCGACGTGATAAGTTTTATCGAATTTATCGATAAGATTGAGCATTTGAGAATTATTTCGATAATAACATCGGCAGACACGTAACATTTCTTCTTTTGCTTTGTTATCAAGTGTTAAATACTGAATAACATCAATGAATAATTGAAACCTATACACAACAAAAAAAAAATACTGATATAAAAATAAAGTTAGTCTTATTAATATCACCAGATAAATTGAGATGATTCTTTCGATAAATCAAGAATTCCTTGCTGATGTTGATCGTAAAAGGTAACCTCTTGCATGCTTCTATTGATATGCCTAATATTTTCTTTCACTAATCTGAGAAGATCATGAGAATTAGCAAAAACGTTGACGACTTTAGGATATTTATTACGTGAACATTTGAATTCATTTTGATTTTCTGAAAAGATAAATATTGAATGCAACTGAGAAAAATCGATAATGTTTGGTAGCAGTTTCGATGCAATGTCACTTGATATAATAAGAAAAATCTTTTCCGTTTCTCTTAATTTAATATCAGTGATGCATGCATCAAGATCAGTCGGAAAGATAATAACACCAATGAGTGCCCGAAATTCTTCCTGCATTCGTTCGATTTCATTGGTTGTGTTCATGACAGGGTCGAACCATATGAGTGTTACACATTGTTCATTTTCTTGACTAGAATCCATGATAGTTGATGGTGGTATTTCTAATGTATATTCGGTTTCGAAATCAATGTCGTCTCCTTGAAATATCTGTTAAATCAAAAAAGCAAAACGTTTTTGACTTTCCTAAATATGTGTTTATCCGCAAAAGAAACCTTAGAGAGCTCATTTTAAAGATGAATACACATGAAAATTAATTATCCAAAAGAAAATTCTATATGGAAGGGAATAGAAATATTTTTCATCGGTTCACCGATTTAACTTCTAGATAATGAAATTCTAACTTTATTTTACAAGCGGTCTCTACATATAACATTCATCAGGGAAAAAACCAAGCGTATATGGTAGAAAAAAAGAATTAACGACACTGAAAAAGACGTAACTATATGAAACAAAGAGGATGCTTGAAAAAAATCGTCAAATGAAGGTACGGAAAAAAGAAAAGAGTGCATTTACTCATGTCATGTGCATGTCATGTTTATTCGACAGGAAAGAAAAGTAGAAAGAAAGAAAGAAAAAAAAATGAATTGCACTATAACAATATACAACGTTTTCTTTACAGACGACAAAATACTGAGATACTTGAAGACATCGCTGCTTATTTTTGTGTTCTTCTATGAAAAAAGAAGAGAACACTCTAGTTCGATAAAAATAAGTTTCCATTTTTCTGTTGAGCTTTACATTCCAAATAAGAGGAAGAACATACATTTGTGACATTGATAGCAATAACATTAAAACATCTTTATAGTAATAATAACTTGTCTAGATACTTTCACATTGAATATGATGCTCGACAATGATGTGAGTGTAGGAAATACCCATATTTATTTGTAAAAATTCTGTATATCTGAAAGATTAAAAAGACACGTATTCAATGAAGGATAGAAAATATGTAAGTTATATAGCATCATTTGCATTCTTGAGTGTGAGAAAAAATTGTCAGTTTAAAGTTGAGAGTGTGTGAATGAAAGTACTATATATATATATAAGGAAATTTAATAGCAGATTCAAGTACTTCGTGCTGGTATTCGCTCTTGAAGCTGTACTAACTATCTAGTTATTGTGCTGGATGCAGAATGTAACATTGTGTCGAATACTACCATTTTTTTAAAGGAATGTCGTACTTAAAAATTATAGGGAGGACTAGGTTAAAATGCTACATTATTGAACTTATCTAGCTTGTAGCACTGATTGACATTCAGAATAGTTCTTTTTGATATAGAATCGCATTTTTCGTCTATCAATACCATTGCAAGTGGGACAGCGTTATTCCGAAAGAGAGCAGAGGATCATAAATAAAACGAATATTTTACACAAATGTATTCAACAGGAACAAACTAATTTCGATTGCAAAAATCAATTTGAAATCAACGAAATTAAGAGATTATGAAATTAGTCTGTTTTCTTTATACTAAAGAGGGTGTGGGTGTGGGTGTGGGTGGGTGTGGGTGTGGGTGTAGGTGTGGGTGGGGGTGGGTGTGGGTGTGTGGGTGTGGGTGTGGGTGTGTGGGTGTGGGTGTTGATGAAGGTTGGACACCCATACCCACACCCACCCTCGACAGTGACTACAGTGAATGAATGAACCTTCTTGGCAATGCCTAATGGAACAATTGTCGTTTTCAAATGAGAAACATATTTCGATCACGTTAGAGAAATTCGAATGTTGCCGTGTAATATAACCACACGTTGACCACGCAAATGAAATCATCGATCGGAAAAGTGGAGAGCTAAGTTGATTATAGATCAGGCTTTGCAATCTAATAATAGAATCACGATTCCTTAGATCAATGTTCAATTGATCTATAGATACACGATGATAGCATCGTTTGGCCATCTCTTTCCACTGTTTAAAAAAATACGTATCGCAAGGCTGCTTTGCCGAAGTTGTTCTGGCGGGAATCACCATTAATTTACATAGCTGGCCTTTGGTTACGTTTTTTTCGTATTTCGCGATGTCAGTCTGTGGTGACCATTGATCGATTAGCAGTAGAAATCGATTGCTGGTCACTTTGTCGAGGACTTCCCTGATCCAATATTCTATGAGCGAACCATTTAACTTGCCGGATTGACTGCAGGTGACCACGACGTTCTCTGCGGAAAAAGTACTTTTTCCTACAGACATTTGACCTGAAGGTTCTTGAAGGCAAATCAGGACAGGATTGAGAAGTTCACCCACAACTGTGATAATTGGCATGACAGTGTAAGAATGCGTGATCGCATTCAAGGATCTAACTGAAGCATGGGTTGTTTTCTCTCCACTGTAGGATAATGTGCGATTAGAAACCAGCTCATAGTTGAAACTGCTTTGATCGGCGTTGAGGACAGAATTCAAAGTATACTTGGGTACCAGTTTTTTTTTACATCTTCCACGAATTTTTCAGCGTTCTGCTTTATCTGGGTCTTGTCAATTGTTTCACGTGCAGATACAAATCTAGTGACTTTCCTGGACGTGATTCCGTTGCGTTGTTTGCAATTAAGAAGCCAATGTGTACTTGCCTTGAAATTATCTAGATCTTCCATTTTGGCTTGAATAAGAACCCATAGCCGAATGTCCAGATCATGAATGGCTAGGCATTCTTGTCGTGCATGTTGAAATTTGTTAATGACGAAAGTTTCAATGCATTGAAGTTTCTGGAAACGATTCTCGTTTCTCTCGACATATTCTCGGAATCGCTGTAACTGTTTGCAGTCTCTCCCTCGTGAAAATGCCTGCTGTATTCTTGTGAAAGCAATCCCTGGGCGCGCATAATCAACCACCTTCTTCATGTATTCAAAGGTAAATTGTAACGCTCCTGGATAAGTGCATTTTATCTATAACCTTTGATCTGTCCTTATAATCCCTTTCATCCTACGTATTGTCCTTATCATTCTGCCATGTGGCACTTTGTCCTCCTCCTTCTTTCTTTTATCTGATGGACGAGTATATAAGCGTATACTTTGTATAGAAACGATGCAATTCTTGGTAGGAAGAAATATAATAAAGCATAGTTCCAGCAGCGCTGGCGCCTCTTCCATCAAAAATCGTCACATAAATGAGCCAGGTTGAATTTCTGGCATTGGTTCGTCCATCAAACTCGGAATTTCTTCATGATGGGATTCATCATCGGACATTTCCAAAGATTCTTCAGTCTCAATATCGTAAGCATCCCTAATTGAAAATTCTTGTAATAGATCAACCAAATTAGCTGCCAAGAACTCTTCGTTTTCATTGACATTTATAGATTAAACATTTGACTTGGACAAAACTTTCTCATTCATAAGCTTAATTATATTAGATACGTTTATCATCGTACACCGATTAATCAAATCAGGAGCAAGGGACAATAATATAAGACAAAGAAAAACTACACCAAAAAGAAAAAGTAAAAAAAGAACTGATAGCACTACTGAATCAAACACATGTGTAAGGTGGAAATAATTCGAAATTTGAGCAAGATTTTATTTTATGTTTATTTATACATCGTTTGATAGAGTTTGACAAGCTGATCACGAATACGTGGGTTTTAATTTTTTGGACAATTTTTTAGGTGAGAAAAATTGAAAAAAACGGCTTATTTTAAGAAAATATTCAAATTTTGCTCGTTTTTATTGCGCAAACTCTTTCAAAGTGATTTTTTCTGATTTGTCGTCAAAAACTGAGTATGAGAGTGGTATTTGATTGATTTTGAAGTTAAAGGTCTATCCGGTACGGCTGTACTGAACGCAAGGGGAAAACATCGTACTTTTGTACTTTACTGTATGTTACAGTGATGCCGCACTGTCACAACTCGCCATCTATTTTCATTTCTATTTTATTTTCTATTTCACTTTTTCCATTTCTTTCTCAGTGATATCTTTAGTATTCTCCATTGTTATACATATATCTTTCTTTTGTTCTCTTTCTTTCCTTTCCTCTCGTGACTATATATGTACGTGTTTTCTACAAGTTTGGTTAGAGAGTTAATAAAGGTGACTGCGTGCAGCGCAGAACGTATAAATTTCGCACTTGTAAATCGAACAGAGAAAAGAAGAAAATTTTAGCGTATAGTTCAACAAAGACATACGCTAACAACCACTTCATACAATCAGATATTTGATCAACCAACTGTAAACCATTATAACAATAACTGAACCATAAAATCGACTCAATATTATAAAAAACACACCAATCGCATTCTTGGTTATGATTGATTATTCTTCCAACAAAAAACACCAACAGAAAAATGAATCTTCGTCCCTGATCTATGCCATAGAGATCATCCAATGCATCAACGATAACTAAATAACCATCCACTGACGCTAAACAGCAAAAAAACAAACGTTAATCCCTACCAACTACATAACTAACATTCATATCTACTAAACGATGCCAACCAACATATGGATATATTACAAGCCATCGGATGAGATTCTGTAGCAGGAATCGAAACACGTATCATGGCAGCTATCCTCAACTCTGTTCAGATCGTTGTTCTAATGTAAGTGCTGCATCAGAATCATCGTCAACCACTTCGAAAATCAATTCTATCTTTCGATAACTGAATCTAGTAATTGCGCAATAATATGTTGTTGTTTTTGTTCTCTTTTATTATGCTCTGTGCACTGAATGTAATTAAGTTTTATTCATAAAAAGCAAAATCACATTCATTTTTTAGAAATGATGATCCTGTTCCACATAGTTTCGATCACGATCATAATAATTCCGATTGAATAGGTTTACTTCAAGATCATTGTTTCGACTAATACGATGCGTGTCATTTAAAGTATTGATCGGACTGCTTCCATCGATCGATGAGATCCGTTTCTCTGTTTTATTTGAGACGGTATAAGGTAAAAAACTTGGACTATAATGATGCCAATTGAGTATAAATTTAAATGAAACGAATGCCACGAGTGAACCCACTATTCCACCAACTAACACATCATTCCAGTGATGATGAAAATCAAATATACGAGAATAACCAATATACAAGCCAAGTATAGCGAGACCAGTTTGAAATATATGACCAATAATACCAAGATGACGCCATGACCATGCCACATGAATATACATAACCAACCAACCGAAACCAACTACAAGAACTCCAATAGAATTTACATTGGAGGAGAAAAAACTAAACTTACAAAAGACTGGCGAAGTGTGTCCACTGAAGAATGATCGACTAAATAAACAATCGGATGAATTTATTATTATATGTATATCGAAACTCACCGAGCATCTCGCACAAGTCCAGAATCAGTGTTTAAACATGTATAATTAATTCCAAATTGTAAATACGAATTAAACTGATTTAACGACAGAGTTGAGCAATCAATCGTCGGTTGACATACCGCAAGAAAATGTGGTCTTAATTCGCCCACAAAATTCTTGGTGATTTCCGTTAAAACCCATGTAGAAAGATAACCATAAGCAAAGACAACTAAATCAATCAAGAAGAACATCGATCAGTTCGAAAAGAAAAATTAAATTTTACCGGTCAGAATATATAAATTACGAACAAATGGTGTAATAGTTGTTACTCTTCCACCGCAGAATTCTAAACGTGTTAAAAATACTTGGTTGGGATATCGATTGAAATAAAAACGCTTAGAAAATTCTGTTATCCACATCTAACAAAGAAAGAAAGTTTCTTTTTCTTCATAAACTGAAAGAGTTTATATTACCCAAACAATCGGGAGTACAACTGATAGAATAGCTGCTGCATAGAAAGGAATCGTGTCACCTTTATACGGATATCTTATTGATGTATCGGAACAAAAGAATCCGCGTGTAAATGGTTGAATGAGATAATGTGAAACGAGCGATACAGCGAGTACTAAAAAGATATTTATTCTTTCTAACAAGGCAAAAGTTAATCATACAGATTGAGAGACTAATAACATCAAGAATAACACGCCAGATTGTCTCCGAATGCTGATATTGATCGTTTGTTGTCGGTGGTCTATTGGTTTCTTTGATAAGCATCGCTGAATCTCCCGATCGATCTGAGACTTAATTTTGAGCTATAGTAGATTTAATGTTTTCACCGGGTAACTATTACTTTGACATTGTTGTTGTTGTTGTGGCGCTATTACTAATAGTAAAAAAAATCGTATGTGAAAGAAATGGAACAGAACGGAGAACGGAGAATAGAAAGAAGAAATTCTGTTTACATCTCCTTTCATCACAAAAGAGAAAGTTACTAATATTCTCTTGTGAGTATTTTTTTCTTCTTTCAAACAGGCACAGAATAGAAAAGTGAAAATAAAATGACGACACATCAAACGTGAAACAGATGGCGTCGTGCGAGAAAGTTTTTCGGTCACATAATTCTTTTATTAATGGAACAAGTAGAGGCTAACGATCATTTGATATAGAATAAAAAATAACGCTCGTTCGTCTCTACAACTCGCTTGACTCTCGACTGAATATGATCTGATCATTATCTATCATTTCTTTTTAGACTTTGCGTTTCAGACAAGGAGGAAAAAGCGATTTGTGATTTTGTGATTTGAAAATGACTTAAATCATTTTTTCGCATGATTCAAAATGGTTTAATTATGATTTTCAGATAATTTAGATCAGTCTTTTCTCCCTTGGTTTGAGATCTGTTGCTGACCAAATACACGTATACGAAAAATCTATAATGATTTCGTTGACCAGTATTTTATAGAATAGTGCAGTCTGTCAGTTTTATGATGAACTATACTAATGTGATGTATTATAGACAACTCGCAGTCAGCCATCGGCGTCTCTACGTTCCGCCACTTTTGACTGCTCGATTTTCTTTATCAATTAGATCTGGCTCAATTTATCACCATATTTTCTTGTTTAAAATATCTTCTAAGGTAGCAAAAGTTGCGAACAAGTACGATGTCAGCTATATGGAGTCGGTCACTTAATAGCAAGAGTTACATTTAAAAACGATAAAAACGTACTCTTCAAAACACTTGTAATCTCGCTTGCTCTATAGTCTTTGGATCTTTGAAATCGTGGTCGATGGCTCAGCGAATGCATTCATCAGCCTTCCGAGAATCTTTGTGTGGGTGGGGTGTAGATGTGGGTGCGTGGGTGTGCGTGTGGGTGTTGGTTTCAGTCTCTTCATGCACAGGTAGAGACACACCCCATACCCACACCCATACCCACATACTCAAATGAAATATATCAGTGTGTGATTTACAAAAATCTTGCTTATGTTTATATTTTAAAGAATAGAAGAATGAAACAATCATGTAAATATATTTGTTCGAAAAAACTACAAGTAGACCTTATCGAAAGAGATGTGAGTCGATTTGCTTGATGTTCAACCAATAAATAATCTTATTTAGGTTTGTTTTCAATGAAAAATTCTTTTTTTCCATAAATGTTGATCAGCTAAATTGATTGCCTGTGAGAACAACGAAACTAATTATTTTAATCATCTATTAATTCTGATGAAAGATTTTTTACCAGTAGTTCTTGATATTCTTTGTCATTCGAATGTAATTGTGTTAAAATATCAACATTAAAAGAATTATCGACTTCATTTTCATTCCTATTTGGTTTTTGTTCCATTTCACTACTACAATTATCACATTCATCATTATACTGTTGTTGACTACTTCCACTAAAGGCACTATCAATATTATCTTGTTTTTGTTCAAGATCTTGTTCATGAAGTTTGTTAGCTGTTGTTGATTCAGTGTCAACACAGTGACCAACTCATCCAGCCTAATTAAATGTTCTTTAGAAAATAGATTTAATTGGAAACTTCATTGAGTGAAAAATCACTCCAAAGATAAGTCTATATAAACACAACAGAATGCCAAAGAAAATTCTTATGCATTTATCTTACATCTTAGATTATAGATGTTTTAGTGAATTTTTCAAAAACTCTGTTGTATGTTATCTGAGACTATCTTCAAAATTAACTTAAGCCCCCCCCCCCCTCCCTTAGAAATGAACTTTGCTAATTTTCATCCAATTTCAACCAAAATTTCAGAGAATGTTAGTCTTGACTAGAATAGCTTATGGTTAAAATATCTCCCCCAAATCCCAAAGAAATACACAAGTTCTAGTCAATTCATTACCCTTTACGCGGGCAAAGATTTCACAATAAGGATACGAGCTAACAAGCCCGGGCGGTTTTCAAGTTGTAGAGTATCCTTAGGGCTAGCACTTAGCAGGCGCCGATTTTTGAATTTCCCTTTATTTGATTTTTAAAAAACGTTTTTCGAAAAATTTTCAAATTCGAAGTACTAATAGAAATAACCCTTTATACCCTGTTGGGTCATTTTTGACCCATTCATACAAAGTTTTGCAGAAAATACAGGAAGTATGGTATTGAAAACTCCCAAAACAATATTGTTACAGAACTCCATAAGCTATCGATTGGTAAAAAAAATATTTTGTTTCGTTACTCTATCTCCGAGATATATAGCTTTCAAAATTATCGATTTTGAAAGAATTTGAAAATAACAAAATTTTAAAAACAAAACGGTTTTTCACTCACACGCAATAAAGATTTCGAGGCTGCGTTGTGTCGTATATATCGATAAAAGTGTCTACTATTTAACTAAATGCGTTTCAAAAATTTGACAATGGCTTGGCAGATACGAAATGGTAAGATACCAGATGGATCCTGAAACGACTATTGAACAGAAAGAGAGAGATAGCGGATACCATGAATATATTATTTGTAAATCTTATCAGAGTAGCAATCGAAAAAAATATATATCATCGATTAAATGTCTTCATTGATGATATAATTACTTAAAGAAAAATATGTATTTTTAAAAAATCTCTGTCAAAAATACATGTGGTGTTTAAAAATCGCTTTTTATATTCGTAGTTTTTCGTTTTGGATTTGAGTCTAATAGAAAGGAATAGAAGACACATTGGCCTAATTAACACCGTCATAAACAAGAAAAGAAGTAGGGCTTTTAAAGTTGTTCCATTCCCTTCTCTATCTCAATGGTCACTGTCGTAATCAAATTCCCCTGCACAAAAGGTAGTGCGTCTGATCGCTCTGCCTATGCCATTGGTATACTGGGGAGACCAATACTCTATTTTTATGGTAATTTTATCAGTGGCTCTTCTGGAACCGCTTCAGGGTATAAAGGGATAATATATCTAAGTTTTTTATTTCAGCAAAAGAGAAATTTAAAAACCGCAGTCTGTTAAGTCCTAGGTCTACATGTCTCCTATATAATTAAAAAAAATTATCACTTCCATGTCGAGTCGTTATGGAGAAAAACCTGTCCGCGTAAACTGCATGACGAAAAAACTGATTTTGAGAAAAACGGAAAATAAGTATTAGAAATCGATTTTCTCGAAAATCACTTCATTTATATATCAGTGTTGAAGACAGACGATAAATATATGATCTTAATATTAAGTGTTCATAGTCTCTTAATGATTAGTATTTAAAAAATCTTTAAGAAACGCTAATGTAAAGAGAAAGCAGCCTAAAAAGTCGAAAAAGCTTGAAAACAAAGCTGTGAAAATTTTTCGAAAAATCTGATGGTAGGAGCGAAGCTTTAGGCCATAAGTTCGTCAAAATCAATTCATTTTTCGGTAAACCATAGATATTCTGAAAGAGGAGACTTCGGTGCGTCTTCCTATAATAAAACTTCAATTTCGACTCGTCTCCGAAAACTTGGATTTTCTGAGGGGGAGCGTCCTTAATGTATGTTGTATTTTATATGATAGAGTTCAACGAATAATAACATCATTTCGAGGATAGAAAATCAAATATATTTTGAGCATTACTGACGACGTGATTGAAAACGTTATGAATTCTATGATAATACTATTTAGGACTACAAGAAATACGTTCTTTTTTCTGATAACGCTAAGCTCAATTTTGATTATCGCATTAATTTATACATATTGACCTTGAGGATATCTTAAAAAATCAATTAAAAATCATTGTTTTCGATCTCTTTTCCCGAGTAAATCGTTAAGAATTCAATTGATTCAATTATTAAATTCAATAAGTGAAGAAACGGCTCATTTTATAGATCAATCAACAAACTATTTCTTTTGAGGCAGAGGGTGTGGGTGTGGGTGCGAGTGTCTAATAACGAGAAGGCGAGAAGAAATGCTCACACCCACTCACACACACCCACACCCACACACCCTTGAGACAACTAGCCGTTAGTGACTTGTCCAGAGTCATTCCATGAATGGTGATACTGAGGTTTGAACACAGTACGTTGTCGATACGTGTCGAACAATGTAATCAGCCAACCATGGCGGCTATAATACTTGTATGAGAGTAGAATAATATAAGATCGTTATACTAACTTATAATTTCCTTCTTTCTAATACCTTTTGAAATTTCGTATTATCCAAAGTATATTCTTCAAGCATAGTATTACGTATATAGGATTCCTTGTATGTCTTCTTTTACAAATTTTAAACGTAAAGTAAGCCAAGGTAAATCAATTTGAAGAACATTTTTCATTATATCGGCCTAAGCTGTCTAAGATATATGATCTAATTAGATAAAGAAAATTAATATTCCGAAGAAATATTATTAGAAATTGAATACTAGATTGATTTCTATCTGATCTTTCAAATTCTCTTTTTAGTAAACTTTTCTTTGCCACAATTTTCTCTAATAATGTTTGATAAACTGGATCTTCGAATAATGTTACTCTTTAAACGAAACAAAAGAATACAAAGATATATCTCAATTTTGATTATCTTACTGTTTATTAAAACTTAAATTTTTCAATGGAAGCAATATCTTGAAATGTATATGATATAATCCATGGTCCTTCTATCTTATAATCTCTAGAATAAATTTAGTATGTAAAACGAAAAAAAAAAAGAATCATTATCATATTTATTAATCAGCGTGCAATACCACCGCAATTGGATTCACCATTATAATTTGGTGCACTGAACACAGTTAAAACTTTATTGTGATGTTCAGATTCATAACCATTTTCTTTAACTTCATGTGAACATATAAGCATTAAAAATTGATTTTCGCTAAGAAATTGTTCTGTTATATTCGGACCAAAAAAAAATAACCCATATGTCTTTCATTATTGATTCGACAACCCGGACGATCTTCAGGATCTGGATCACATCACAATAATAAATCTATTTATATTTAATCTCAAATACATAAGATTATCCATATCTATAATTAGTACCTTGAATTTGAAGACATGCATCTTTTTCATCCTTAGTCAACCGTTCACCGATATTTTACGATTTCGGTCGTATACTAAGTGAAGTATATACAAGTAAATAAATATAATTTTTATTATTTTCAATTTTACATTGATATCTTACAAGAGAATTTATTTGTGATAAATGAATACGATCAGATATCCCTCCATGAACAATCATCAGTTTAAATTTTCCTATATCAACACATGAATAAATTGGTAATCAACTAAATATATCTGTAAATAGATCAAGTAATCGTGTTTTACATTTCTAAATATATTTTCATTAGATTGATTTCTTTTACAAAATGATGAACTGACTGTATATAGTTTCGATTAATTTCACTTTCAAAACCATATCGAAGTGTAATCATATGATCTTTATGATTACTGATCAATTTTTGAAAGATGAAAAAGCAAAAAAAAACAAACACATATTTAACGAGAAAATTAATAATACGAAGAAAAGAAATACGTCGATTAAGAAATTATTAAACTTGAATAGAGAATCAAAGCAACCAGAAGTAAAAGAATAATTTCAACTGAATTCAGACTTAGATTTACAAAATCTCCATTGAATATATATGGATGATTAGTTGCAGATAATCCATTCTACTTAAAAATAAATAATTCAAATAGAAAAACAAACGTTATTGTAAAAATCTTAAGCTAACGCACTTAATATATGTAATAAACCAGCTAATTGTCCATGAAGGTCAACAATAATAAATATATGATGTAAATTAGATAAGTCAATACGATTAATATTTGGTAATGTTGTAAGTGTAGTACGTGCTTGATGAAGAATTACATAGACATATTTTTCATGTAAAACCTATTAGTAAACTATTGATTTAGTTAAAGATTTATGCACTTAATGTGATCGAATTTATTTATTCGATATTAGTTGATTTGTAAATTGGATGCATGTTTTTGAATCTATTGTTTGAACTTATTTTATATTAAAGCAAATACTTGAATCTTGTAGCTTATCTATCCCAAAATTCTGATTGCTTCTGTTTTCTATTTTAAAAGGGTGCGTTTCAAAAATGGAATATTTACTGAATTCTTATCGTAAATTTTTTATGTCAGAAAATTATATATAAACAAGCGTTCACTTCATACCTTTTAATATACTTGCGGTATACCAAGAGTAGTGCTGAAGGTACTGTAATTCCTTGTGAAAAACTTCTAGAAAGTTGCAGTCGTTCTCTTTCGAAAAGGAAAACCTGCATCTCCCTATCTTATTTCTATCAAAAGTTATATAAAAAAATATCAAATAGACATTAGTATTGCCGACACATATGATAAATAAACCTTATTGAAAAGGGTATGGGTGTGGGTGGGTGTAGGTCTTCTCTTCATCCACACTCACACCCACACACCCACCGACATCCATACTCACACATACACTCATATCCCACACCCATACCCACACTCATACGCCACGCTCATACCCATACCCACACTCCAAACTCATACTCATTCGCATCCACACCCCACCCACCCAAATCTCGGACGAAGCAAGTCATACATGGAGGAAAACTAAAGATGGCCTAAAAATGGCTCTTGGATGCCTCTGTTGCCTTTAATAGAGAGTAGTCAACAGTGTTTATCAGACTTCGATATAGACATTCATGCTTTTGAATTATCTTTTTCTTTCTGCGACTCGAATGTTCTACTAGAAGAAAAAGAAACAATACTCTTTGTTTTATTTTTCATATTACAAGATAATAAGCAAAAGGTGTTATCATAGGAACACTTTTTCTTTTTGCGACGTCGACTGCAACACAACAACCAACAACCACGTAAGTTGCTTTAGATTTGTTAATGCCATACTTAGAGAAGCATCTTGTTAGAATAGAATATTGCTGCGAAGATGAATCGATTCTTAGACATTGAGATAGGTAACAAAAAACTCCCACCCGTTGGTGCCTTCTTGCAACATTCTCTCCTCCCTCTTGAACAAGCTTTGCAACCTGTTATGTCCCGTTTCGATCAGTTGGATCGATCGATCAAAGAAGCCAAAGAATATTGCTGTTATCCATCAAAAGATCAACTGACACGGGATAAATCGGCTGCCGTTTTTTTATACACCATGGAAGGTGGTGATAACAGCTTGTATCGCGTATTGAACAAAATACTGCGCTCTGAAAATCGTCGTGAAGTCATACCCTTGTTTGGATTTCTTAAATTATTCGATACATCTTTTTTCGATTTGTGCGAAAATTTATAATAGTTTAATCTATGTTTATTGATATGAATTTTACATTTTGTCTAAGCCAGTCACCCTTAGACTCTTATGCAAATATTTTATTAATTTATCTCTTTCAACCACGTAGAAGAAAATTTGATTGTTTCAGTAATGTATCTT